ATACCAAGAGAAGCACTACTTGATCCTTGTGCCATTCACCCTGTGTCTGGCGCTTATTCTGGCACTGGCAGTCCACGGAGTGTGCTACAGCAGGCAAGTGAATCAGTCACACGCGTCGACATGACAGAGCAGCGCTTAGAAGACAGTACAAATTACTTCGGCTACTTGAATTGGACCTTTTTCAAAGCTGCCCAGTCAATCCTTCAGGACTTCTTATGTCCCCAGAAAAAAACTGGTCACTCCGCAGCGTTTTGATTTTCTTCCCCAGACTCAGTGAGCTACTGTACCGTAGCATTCAAACATCCATACGTCATACGTACTTGAAATCGTCAGGATTGGGGTAACGTGAATTCTCCATACAGTCGCGGCTCTCATGGGCTGGCAAGGTGCCTTTACCGTCGGATTGGACTTGGTGAACCAGTCCCTGTCGGGGCCTGCCAGATTTTGCTGCTGTGCCAGGATGACCTGCAAAGCTGCTGCAACTCTGTGAATGGCGCACTTAGGCTAAGTCCTGTAAGAAGAGCAGCCCAAAAGATCTGAAGGCCAGATTGAAAGCTTGTCTTGCTGAGGTCCACTTTGACAGCTGCACCCATGGCTTTGACTACCATCCAAGCAGGTTTCATGTGTGCCTGGCGCTCGGTTTTTTCCAAGCGGGTGTTTGAATTCAGATGCTGCAGCACAATCAGGCTATAACCTCACTTTGGACACTGGGGTGCCAGGCCTGTTCCTTGGCACTCTGGTCCGATGCCCTTGGTTTCCAGTCTACTGATACCAGGGTTGATAGGTTCATGCATCCTGTGAGCTCTGAATTGGTTTGTGCACTGCACTGGCAAAGGTGTATGCCAGCGTGTCTGGCCGCGTCAAGCACATCCAGGTAGCAACTGCTGCATCAAGAGTTGTTGTTGAAGATATGCTCCGACTTTGCAGGATGAGGATGGCGGGTTTGATGCTAATGATGTTGATGACATGGTGCACGTATGCATGCTGTGCTACGGGATGCTTGGATAAAGTTGCGCCATGCGCGAGCGGACCCAGCACACTCCAACGCACCATGGCATGCTCTGCCAGCTGTTTCTGCAGTCCATGTCACTATACTAGCAAAATGATGGTCGCTCAAGTGCAACAACAGGTGTCACCGGTGAGCTTCCCTAACATTCTGACACGTCAAACTGATTCATCAACAAATTGCGTGCCATGAGCAGTCTGACACGGGCATTGCCCAGCTGGCCCCATGCAGTACGAGACCGCCAGTGGTTCGTGTGCGGTAGTTCCCGAAGCACAAGGCGGTGTGCGACTGCAGCGCTTTGTCGCCCAGCATTTCCGGGAGCTGCTGGGGCGCAAAGGAGGCGCTATGCATGTGAACGTGCGGCAGGAAGCTGCTATCGCTTGCCAAGATGGCCGAGTGCTGGTCAACAACGAGGTAGCAGCTGGTCGCAGGGTCTTGCAAAATGGAGATGTTGTCACCCTGCTGACAAACGGCACCGTCACATTGAGACCTAATGATTCCGTTGGCACCTGCGCTGGCCTGAAGCGCGGTGCTCCACGAATGCAACTTGTGTGCGACTCCTCCAACACGGAGCGCGTAAAGCATCACACTGAAGGTGGTTCGGCCAAGTTTCGGCTGTACTACAGGGAACTTCAGTTCGGAATGGAGTTGAGAGACTGGGAACAGTGCGAGCTGCTCTTTGAAAGCCCCGTACCTCTTAGCTTAAGATTAAATCGAACTCCCCTCCACGCAGAAACACTTCTGGCTTTGACCGGACAGCTTGGCCATCGAGCAGAGTTTGTGCCTTGGATGGAGCACCTTGGAGGCGCTCTCCATGTCGTGCCTACCCCACACCCTGAAGAAGCCGCAGAGGGCTTAGAGCTTGTGAACGTCTTGGCTTCTGCCGGTGAGGTGGTGGTCCAAGATGGTCTTTCGATGTTGCCTGCAGTTGTGCTAGACCCACAGCCGGGCGACGCTGTGCTTGATCTTTGCAGCGCTCCAGGCAGCAAAACCTGTCAACTGCTGGATGCCCTAACTCACAAAGAGGAGCAGCAAAACATGGGCCTTCTCGTAGCCAATGACATCCGTGCCGAAAGATCCGAGAGGACGTGGTCAAGAGTGAAGGCTCAGCACTGCGTTCCCTTGCTCATAACGAATGTGGACGGGAGTCGGCTTCCAGACTTCGTGGGGCCACACGGTCCAATTGCGTTTGACCGCATTCTGGTGGATGCCCCATGCAGCTCAGATGGAACAATCCGCAAGGAACCCAAGCGGCTTCAGCGCTGGAGTGTTGCCTCCGGCCTGAACCACCATGAGCTTCAACTGCGCCTTCTGCAAAGGGGACTTTCATTGCTCAAGCCAGGGGGGAGATTGGTGTATTCAACATGCTCATTGAACCCGCTGGAGTGCGAAGCTGTCGTGCAGGCAGCTTTGATGAACTTCCATCGTGCACATCTCATTCCGGCAGAAGCGGTTCTGCCCAAGGGATGTCCGAGAGGAATGCCTGGTCTAAGCACTTGGCAGGTGCCGGACCCCAATTTCAATTCCACAGCCCGCTCGTACACATCAATGGAAGAGCTGACATGCCAAATGGACCCGCCCTGCCAGCTCTTAGGGTCCATGTTCCCTCTACCTATGGAGAAGTCTATGGAGTTGTCCCTGCACCACTGTGCCCGATTCCTGCCCATTCATGGACCACATTTTGGTGGCTTTTTCTTGGCGGCTTTCACTCTCGAGCATGGGCGCCGCAAGCAGCAGTCAGCTTTTGAATTCTTCAGATTTACTGGTCAAGGTTCTGGGTAAGATTTATTAAGAGCAGTCTAGCCCCTTGACTTGCTACTGGGGCTACGCTCAAGTTAAGGACTGAATCTCCCATGCCTCTTTCACAAGAAGCTCAGGTCCCAGGCATTGCTGCTCTGGCTGTTTTGTTTTCGTGGGGATAAGTTTGGCAGATCATCGCATATCATGTACCGGAGTTTTGTGGCTTTAGCGCTTTGCAGGTGCACCTGCGCGACCGCTCCTTGCCAGATTTGACTTCAATGAGCCGGAGTCTTTCAAGGACGACTGTTGACTGACTCGTTGGCCATCCAACATTCAGTTTGCCCTACTTGAGGGTCCCTCAGATGAGCAGGATCCCTCAAACGACAAAGAGAAACAGCAAATGCAAGCCTGCGATTCCCTTGATGCAGTTGTGACCACCACTACCGCGTGCCATGGTTCTGGAGGTTGTGGACTTCTTCGGCCTGCACGGTCCAGAAATTGACCTTTTGGCACCCTTTCCTCCGGAGCCTGGTCAAGTCTTTGTTTTGTGACAGTGTTTGTTTGCCCACACGCCCTGCACTCCTGCCCAAGGATTTTATCAGTCTGGTCGGCCCGCACATTCAGGCATTGAAAGGGCCCAGTGCTGACGTGGCCACTTAATTGCATTGCGAGAACTGGAGAGAAGCATGTTTGCTGCAGCCCTGAGCGGCATGTGCAACATCAGGGTTTTTCTTGTACTGTATTGTGAGTCAGTCCAGGCCATTCTACATGCTGGCACACCACTCTTGCACCGGTACCAAGCTCAGCTCACACACGTATACACTGCCGGAAGCAATACTCAATCTAGACCCAGGGCCAGAATCCGCTATAGTAGTGGGACTTGAAACGACCATCCATTGCGAATTAGATGCAAGTATACGCAGAGAAGTAACGTTTTTGCTGTACCTAGGGCTACCCCAATAGACCTCCAAAGCAACATCATCTTTGTCTTCAGACCCCCTTTTGGTACCTAGTCTTTTGAATTGAAAGGCCCTTGCTAATCAACTCCAGGATGCCGGGATCCGAGCCTGCACAGTGGAAGATCTGTCCAGAGGGTGCTTCATGCTTGGCGCGGCTTGCCACCAAGCGGAAGCTGTTCCCCAAGGAGCTGCGCAGCAGCCATTTCTTTTCGTGACCACTTGCTGCCCTCCCGGAGTTCACACCACGCTTCCCCTGGCCCGAAAGATGCAAACATTAGCTGTGCCGCGCTGTGTGCCCAGTTCACTTCCTTTCCGTTCATTTGGGTGGTGTCGGGTTCTTTTTTTTCTTCCTTGGTAGATAGCATGCTTGCTCTGCACCTGGGCGTCACGCAAGATGATCCTTGAAGCTAGTTCTGCTGGCTTCTGTTTTTCAGGAGGACGTCCTGCATCAGCTGTTGCGGGATCGCACCGGACAATGGAGCGAGATCAATGGACCAGTATTGATACGAGTGCCGGTGGACTCTTGGCCTCCAATCTTGCTTCCAAGCACTTGCAAAGTAGCGCGTGCTAACACTGGAGGCTGTTTTTCACTGCAGTAATGCCGACACTTGCCAGCACTGCAAGCCAAGGACGCAGATCAGGATGCACGCCGACAGCTGTGGTTGAGTCATCTGCTCAGTTCACCGAACCGAGGTTGAGGTCTTCATTGGCTCACGGCCGGATACTGTAGCTTCCATTTAATTCGGTCGAGTTCAGACCAAGCAGTCTGCAAACTAAAGCCCAAGTGTCTCGTGGTGCAATTACGCTTGAAGAGCACGCATGTAAGGTGGAGGATGCAGGGACGGCCAGCTGACTTTGGACTCGTCTGGAGACATGCTTCGAAGATGCCAAGTCCTGCTGCAGCAAAAGAAGCGCTCGGAGAGACTTCTCCTCACCAAAGTTCCCTGGCAAATGGCTGCAACATCATCTCAGGGATAGCGAATGCTGTCGCAGGATCAGAGCTCCTATGTGCCCTCAGAATTGTCACTGTATCCGCTGCGCTGTCCCCGGGTTCTTCATTGCACTGGCTGCGCCGTCCCTTGATGGTGAGAGCTGTCAGGTCGTGTGGTTCCTCAGTTTACCCGCTCCTTAGATGGACGCAAATGCCTCAAAGGGGGGCATGGCTGTCTGCTGGCCAAGCTCAACTGCACTCAGAGCATTGGCTATTGTGGAGTTCATTTCTTTGATTGTGTGCAGCATTGCCAAGCAACATAAATGGACCATGACCAGTAGCAGCTGTGAAGAAGAGACATACAATGCACCACCAGGCCAGCCGCCTTGTGGCCCGGTTCTCAGAACTCCACTTCTGGCATTGTTTAGACTTGAGCAGGAGGGTTCTGCAGCTTGCTGCTCAGAACGGCAGGTTTGTGGCATACCAGGTCATCAACCACGAGGTTTCCCTATATTGCTGCGGCCTTACCCAGAACGCAATGGACGATAGGAGCAGGACCAATTCCTCTTTTCCTTAACAGGGGTATGGTTCGAGCAAAGGGCCCACCCACCTCCTCGCAGCCGCCATCTGCTCTCTGCAGTGAAATTGCGCCCTGCAAGCTGTGCACACGGGCTCATGGCCGGTCCGCCCTTGGAGGGGGCAAGCACTGTGTCAAAAAGTCAAACGGTGCCTTCAGTTCCAGGGAACCTCCCAAACTCGCACAGTGATCCGGATTTTGCATTCAGGCTGCCATTCCAGATCTTGTCAGTCTGAGTGCAAGCAAAGTGAGGATAGTGCTACAATGTGTCGCAGCTTGCGGACTTATAGTCTCAGTCCCAAGGCTCGCTATCCGAGCGCACTGTTTTCCTCAACCTTTGCCCTCTTTTCGCTTTGTTCATCGAGCCGCTGGTCCTGCCGCACTGCACTCAGCCATCGGGTGTGAGTTGTTTCCTTGTATTGAAGAGAATACATGTGAGCCACGCACTGTACATGTATACACTTCCAGGTCAACCGTGTCCAAGAGCTTCAATGCGTGGGTATGGCATGTTTGACTCACGAAGTTCCTGCAGAACATGGTCTAAGAAGTAAGTAGCAGTAGCAGGTTGGACACTCGTAGATTGCCAGGACGTTCTCTTCGAAGATGGCACTGGTTACCATGGCCTTCGGCGCGCTCTTGTTCGGACCTTAGTGGGCAAGATCACTCAAACGTGGTGATTGCGGAACTCAAGTGTGAGCCTTTGAAACTAAGGTTTAGTCTGCAATACCCAGAGTTCTCTGCAGACGGAGCACGAGCAGCAGGACTTCTGGTAGCCCAGCCCCAAGCTAGGCAAGCATTTGACACAGCGGCATGAGTCAATTGTGAGCCTTGCTCCTGAGCAGCCTCCATGTGGCTGGCTGTTTCAGTAGACTAGAGCCCTTTGAAATCCCATTCTTCGGATTATGGGTTCAACATATAGGGGTGTCAAATGGATTCGCCTGCAACAAGGTCCGGGGCCCGTTAGATGGCAAAAGCACAACAGGGTACGTAACCTGCTGGTATTCAAAAGGTATGCAAGAGGGGGTTTGGGGCGTAGAGCGCGACAACACGCCGGGTTATCAGAGCGTCCACTTATGAATTCCTGCCCAGTCTCCAGAAAATCTATTCCCCCCTCGCGATACCACATATAATCCTTAAAGCACTCCTAAAGGCCATCGTCCTGCCCTACCGGCTGCTCCAGAGGATGTTGCTGGCCGAGTGCCGAGAGGACGGCGCGTCTCAAGTCTCAAGAAAGTTAGGTTTGACCGTGAGAGTTATCAGAACAGACGAGCTTGGTTTGTACACAACATCAAAGGTTTGTGAAAACTGTGGGCCCTTTCTGGGGTTCATGCAGGCAGCTTAAATGCTACGATGCATCATCCTGAAGTGTGATTAGAGAATTTCACTTCAAAAAAGAATCAGTAGCGTACCAGACAGCCTAAAACAATTGAAATTGAGTGACGATGGCTATGAGGTCCTCAGTGTTCTTAAGATGAGTTCTGAGACAACTCGTAATTGCGGCAGCCAAATCAAGCACAGACCCCATCAGAATGAGCAAGACGAAAGGCACCTGCGACTTTGCTTTGCGCGTTCGACGGTTTGCTTCTCGCTCTTCCAGCGGGCGTCCTCACAACCGTAAATGAACGATTGCTCCAAGCTCAGTACCGTACTGAAGCTGTTGACAGTGGTGTTTTGAATGAAGCCTTATGTTGTGCACAAGTTTTTCCATGCCACTGCTGCTTTATTTTGTGCTCAGCCGCGCTTTCGCTATGAAATGGTACCTACAACTTTCATATATCCCGGAAGTCAAGGATGCAGGGAGGTGACGTGAACCCTGGCTTGCGTGATCCGAATGTTACACTGAGTTTTCTGGAAGCCTGGAACGTGTGGCTTCACAATCCTTCGATTATGTTTCAGCCTCAGCTGTTTCTTACTGCTGCCTGGCCCTCGTAGCAACAACGTCTGAAATGCATCTCAGGTTAATGCTAGCCTTGTCCGTGTTCGCGTTTGTCGGCAATCACTTGGCAACGGCTTCAGCATGAAACATGAATCATTGTAGAGGAAGCTCAGCATTGCTCGGGAAGCCTGAACCTCAGGCAGTCCTCTACCTGCTAAAGGCCACGTCTGCGACGCTAGCACCAGAGCTTCTCTCTAATGCTTCAAGATGCTTACGCCTTCAGATCTGCAGAGCAACTTGGCCCCGAGGTCTACACTCGTCTTTAACAATTTGGCAAACTTCATTGTTGTGTTCGAGGCGCGTGCTGACAATGCTGACACGAAATACACGAAATGTGTGCGAGCATTTTGTGTCAGGGCATCGTCTTCTTCTCAGATCCCGTGCTGCAGGCATTTCAGATCCATCCCATCACATTCCATCTATGGTGCATTCACACACTGGCCATGTCACACGAGACTGTCTGCATGCCTTGTTGCTCAGTGCATGTCTCGTGCCAGATGTGCTTTGAGCAGCATGCTGCAGGCACCGCTTGTAATGGCCGGCATCATCTTCAGCCTGTTCGGAGGTATTTGGTATGCCTTATGCTCAGCTTGATTCGAAGACGGCTCCAGGCCAATGCCTGTAGGAGCTTCGGCTGTTGACTTTCAATAGAGGGCAGCTCGTCTTGGTGGAATGGGTCATCTAGATCTTGACTTATTTGTGAGTGACATTGTCCAGGCTGTCGACCAGCAAGAGTCGAGGAAGAGTTCACAGGACATGCTGTCCTTGTGCTGTTGAGAGCTCAGACACTGCAAAAAGACCTGAGGCGATCAAACTCTGGTTAGCAGCGCGGATAGTTTGAGACTAAGCCACTATGCAGCCATAGAGACTCCCAAAGCCTCAAGACTTGCAGACCTGGTGGACGAACATCGCATCAATCCCTACGGACACGTAACACGGTGCCCTGCTTCCCAGCGCAGCCGCTTCTGACTCACAGCTGCAGATGCCTGACTATCCGCCACATTTGCTCGTGGATGGTGCAGGCTGCAACGATGTCAATGGCGTCTTTGCCCTGCAAGAGGGCCTCCTTCACGAGCAGTGTCCAGTGTATGCTGGACTCAGTGACTTCAGCATAACTGTATGCCAGGGGCCGTCGGCCGACGATGGCAGTCTGCAGTGGGGGTGGATCATTGGGCAAGCAGGTGTACCAGCTTATGGCTGCCCAACAGACAAGAAGGAGGTGATCCCACTGCAAGGATGGCAAGCCTTTGAGGCTGACTCGCCGGCACCCAATTTGCGAGGGCTGTGGGACAAGGATGAAGAAGCAGCAGCTTTTGCGGATGAAGCCTTTCGCAGAGCAGCTTCAGACACAATTGGGAACCAGAAGATTGCCGTCAAGGAGCAGCCAAAAGCCGTGGTTCATAAAGATTGCAGCATAGTAGTCAAGTAGCGCTGGAGTCAGCATTATAGCCTATTTGCTGAAATTTGGCCTCCTGGCAAGGCCTTTCGCAAAGCTCTCCAGGGTGGTGCAAAGCTGCAGGCAAACTGGACGAAGCGAGCCCAACTTCACACTGCGTTGGCTTCTTTACTCCGCATCCTGGGGAAAGAGGACCAAGCTCAAACAGAGGCTTGTCCGTAAGTGTTCTTTTTGATGGGTAGGCTTAATCCCTGCAAAATTCAAAATGACTCATTCCAAACCATTGTCTGCAGAACGCGCTGAGTCCTACGCGTGTGGCAAATGAAGCGAACAGACACTACTTACTACTTTGGCAAAATTGACTGACACGTATCGGCGTCGTTGGCAGCTGCAGTTGCAGCAACAGCCAGGGTCATTCGCAGCTAGACTCCTTCCAGTGCTCACGCCAGGTCGATCAAGCACTTCAGCTGTGCCCCTTGCCGGGGGCTTTACTTCTGAAGGCGCAGATATTCAACGCGGCGGGCAAAGAACCTGGTTGGAATTCTAGTTTTGGGCGTGAAATCAGAAGGCAGCATAGGGGCTGCAATATCCGCAATCGCATTATTCGGCCAGCTGAGAATTGAGGCTAGAAACGTTGTTTGGATACACAACATGTGTAGCAGTCATGCAAACTGCTAGGGATCGCACCCTGCTGAAAGTGCTCATGCTAACTGTGGACATCATACGACATCATAGCGCGCTTGGAAGTGAGCATCATTTGGGTAATAGGACCTTCAGCAAAGTTCTTCTTGGGAGCCTTCTGAAGCTGGTATTCGCAAATGACTGAAGTCTCTGTCGGAAGAGGGCGCCACAGTTCGCATGAGTGCATATATCATATCCCAAAACTAAATCTATATCATCCCTATGACCCCATATAATGCCTACCATATATCCTTATACTTATATCCTTGTATACCCCACATATCACACATCCCGATATAGCCCCAGTGAGGAAGGCGAAGCAGCCTTGGCCGCTAAGCAATGCTGGCTTCAGTGCCTTGGAGGATGTGGTAGCGATCCCGGACTTTAATGGGCTCCCAAACTGGGAAACCCAGTGGAAGTATGCAAGGAACTTGTCTACCAGGATCCTTTTATTCCTACTATAATCTTGGGGTTCCCTGTATGGGTCCCCATGGAAGTCCTTCTAGAGTTTGCATGAGACGTTGTGTAGCCCCGTGTTGCCTTCAACCTGAGGCTGCAGGCTGGAGAAGCACAAAGCGAGAAGCGTAAGCTGCAGCGAGAATGCAGGGAAATCTTACAGGAACTTGGTGAGCCCTGTGATGCCCACCTTCCAAAGGCTTGGCAGGTAAGCGTCTCTGCAGAAAGAGAGTCCGGCGAGCTGCCACCTGGTAATGTGATCGATTGGTGCATTGAGAGCATCGAGATCCAGGGCTCGAGCATGACCAAAAGTTCAGGTTACTATGAACCGTCAAGGAGAGTCTCGAATGGATTTCCTGTCTTTGTGAACCAATTCGGCTTCCAGCTATCTTTGGAGATTCAGTCTAGCAAAACTCGAGAGGTGAGCGCTGGCTGGGTTATCGGAAGGATGCAAGTGGGCCTGTTTGGGACAAGGAATTTGGAGACCAACAAGCTGCCTGCAAAAGACTGGCACTGTTTCCCTGCTGCGTGCAGCGAGACAGCACCAAGCACATGCAGTGTCAAGACCTTCCCGCTTGAGAAGGACCTTGGGTGGGGTCATCAGGCACGCCTTGGGAATCACGGGGGCCCAGCCGAAGCCGCACGCGTCCTGCCTGCTTGCATCAACCGGCTTGGAAAGTGTGGAGATCTCCAACGCGTCGCGTGGGCTTTGACAGAAGCTTGATCTCTTTGATGTCCACGAAAGGTGGGGCACTTGAATGCTTCATTACTGGTTTGTGGCATTTGACAGGGTCAAAGAAGACCAGGTGGGTTTCCGTGCAATATAGTTTGATAAGCTTTAACGTTGGACCCGGACCAAGCAACCCACAACATAGCTTAGGAACTGGCCGGGGCTTTGCGGCAGCTCGGCCACCTTTCCGATGCGTGCGAAACGGCAAGGAAAGCGCTGGCCACCTGCCCGAGCTTGCCAGAGGCTGTGCTGATTATCATGAAGGATAACCATGAAGGGCTGCAGGTTCGACCCTGTCGATAGGCTTACCTGGAGCTGGCCAGCTGCCTTCTGAGCTTGGACAAGGAAGGGGAGGCCTCCTTCAGAAGCCTCAATGGACACTGCTACAATGTTTCTTGCGGCAGGCCAAGGACAAGTTGCAGTCATTGCTGGCACAGCGGCCATACGATGGAAGAGCTGCGTTGGCGCTGTCAACGCTGGGGTGTTGTGCCTGCAGTTGCTATTGGGCTGAGGAGTTGGGGCACTTTCTTTCTGATATGCTAGCTGCCAGCCACATCCCTGGGCCACTAAGGTCTGATGTGCCTTCTCACCCAGCGCCAGCAGCAAGAGTTGCAAGCACATCACAACAGGAAGCCCTTCACGAAATGTCTCGGAAGCATGGAGAGGAAGCCAATCCCGGCGCCGCAGACACCTGGAATTGCACTGTCTGCGTAGACAATATTCTGCATAAGCTTGGGTTGGAGACTTTAATGCTTTTACTCCAACAGGAATGCAGTGGCGAAGTTGTGTGTGACCCGCCAAGGATTTCACTTTCGAGGATCAGAAGACAGAAGTCCATGCCCATTGGGTACTTGGTGCACACGTGAAGGCGAAGGACATCCAGGTCCAGTTTCAGGCCGGCTGAGCTTCGCAAGACTGGCCAAGGCAAAGCGAGTATACATGTTGGATTTCCTTGGTTTTGCTAAGGCGCACTCGCTCTCGGTGAGTGTTGGCGGACATGCGTTGTTCAGCGGTCAGCTCGCGCACAGGACAACGATTTGCAACGTCCTTATGGCACATGTCAGCACTAATTGCCATGACCAGTTGTTATGCCGAAGTCCAGACGTCAGGATCAAGCCATCTGAGTCGAGTTGGACATTTTCGGCTCCAGACCTGACTGTGACACTTTGAGACTCAGCTACCATGACAGCTAGGCTTCCTCTCAAGTTTGGCCATCTCACACTGCATGCTGTCATCACACATGAATCTATGCCGCACTTGTTCAAAATGAGCAAAGGCAAATCAGCCGAGCAAGGAAAATGGCCCAGGTGGGAGGTGTTGCACCAGGAGGACAGTGCCATATCCAACATGTTGGTGCTTCTAGCAGCGCTTGTTCCATCACTGATCGCTTTCTAGCCTAGCAGGCCACAGACCTAGCTCGAGCAGATGTCAGATTGTCAGCACGCCCTTTTATAGAGCATGGACACGAGGGACCTGCAGCTTGATGTTGAAAATTCTTCTTTTGCTGGCTAATCTAGCTAGTGATCTTAGCAAGCAGTTACTAAATGGGTTGCTGTCTGAGCTCGCAGCACCACTCCGTGGCCAACAGCGCAGGATGAGGAGGATCGCCTACAGCGGCTCCTGGGCAAAAGAAAGCTCCGGGCAGCCATCTCTGGTGCATTCTGGTGTTCTGTTTCTTCCCCCAAGGCTTGGCGGCCTTCCGTTTGACAGAACAGCCATCCAATGGCTGTAGTGGAGGCCTTTCTTGGCAGGTGAGGCAACCAACAACTTCTTGGGCTTGCAAGATTCTGATATCCATCAGATGGATGACATTGATCGCGGCAGGACTGCAGTAGAATGGGCACTTCCCCCTTCGCGCAGCTTGCTGGCCATTTGGCTTCAAGGGCAGCTGTGACGTGACGCGGGTTGCGATGCGCTACCTGTGTTCCGAAAAATCCCAGCTTCCTGGGTATGCGGTGACACAGAAGTGGACAGCGGATGTCCAACTTTTGTCAACACAGCCCGCTGCCTTCGCTGAAGCATGTGCTTCCCAAGCAAGCTGGAAAGAAAAAGGTCCTGGAACTTGGTAGCCCATTGTAGACAGGCCGCCAAACCATGCATGCAGTTGAAGCAGCATCGCACTTGCATCGGGCGCTCGCTGGAGCCAGGAGCTCGTCAAATCCGAGCCAGGCTCTGATGCCCGGGTTCCTAGAGCCGAACAGGTGGATAGTGGCAGGACTGAGGACAGAGCGGGAAGACCTTGAGTTTGGAAAAAGCTCCGCAGCCCTTGTGTCTGGCCCAGTGACCTTAGAAGCGCTTGCGATGAGGCAGCTTGCTTGAGATACACGGCCGACTGCATTACTGGCTCGCAAGCATTTCAGACCTGCAGAGCATTGCCAGGAAGACGCATGAGCAGTTCTTAGCTTGCGTGCTGAACTCAGAGACACAGACGGGGCACACGACTACAGAGCCGTGCCTTTTTTACACTGCATACAGCTTTGATACCCATGAAGCATAGCCTTGTAAGTTAATTGTTCCATTTAAGCGAGCTCCGAAATGCTGGAGAGCGACGATCCCTTCAACATACGGCGTTTTGCGGATCAGCAGAGGTTCGCAGTCTGCAATTGAAGCCAGACGCGGCATGCAGTTGGGAAGTACTGTTTCCTGATACAATCCACAAACTCGGAAACTGCTTAAGTTACTGTCAAATTTTCAAGCCCAGAGAGCAAAGAACTCCTGTGTCCCTCCTTCGACAGCTTCGTCGGCCTCCCAAATCCTTTGCAAAGCAACGAACCTGCGTTGACCAACTGGCCAGTAGCAGCAGCATTCAATCGCGCCTGTTTGCCAGGAAGCATTTTGACACGGCCTTGCAAGAGGTTCGGAATGGGCAGAAGAAGACTCATTGGATTTGGCAGTCTTGGCAGCATGTATCACCGACTGCCTGGTGCTGAACAGAAGCTTGGGCGCTGCAACTTCAGCGCACGTCGCGCCTGAATCAGGTACATCTTCCCCACACCACCCTATGTTCGCAACGGAGAAGAGTCCGGAAGTCCCACAAACAAATTCTATGCGCGTCTCTGCTGACAAGCTGGAGGTCAGTCTTCTAGACCCAAAGACTTTCGGCAAAGTGGCTTGCATACAGGGGCGAGGGACAGTTCCCAGTCACAACCCAAGCAAGTTTCACCTGATATGCCAGACTACCATGACTTCTGCTCAGGATCCGGTCAGACGAAGAAGCATCTGCGTTCCTAAGCTTCTTCCCTGCATTCAAGTTTATCAGAAGGGGAGAGGGATCAACGGAATCAAGAAAATCAACACAAAATGCATCAATGCATCAATGACAAATTCAATGAGGCAGGATGAAAAAAGCAATCGGAGAAGTTAAGCTCTTGCGTGGGCTTTCTCGTTTCTGTTGATACCTGTTTAATTTGTTGTGTAACATCTTGTGAAACTGAGCACTCGCGCGGAGCGTCCTGAAATTTTTGGCCTGAAATCCAGCAGTGGGGTGGAGCCTTCTCAAATTCTGGCTTGAAATTGAGCTCCCGCATGGAGCGGATCGAATTCTGGCACCGCATCCAGCTCTCCTGTGGAGCGTCGCCACATTTTTGAAGGAAGGAAGGAAGGCAGGAAGGATTAAAGCAAAGAAGGAAAGAGGCAGGAAGGAGGGAAGATTGTCATTGTTCATCATGCTCCACTGTCTTTCAAAATGTTCCATAATTACGCATTTTGCTTTGTCATGCTCAGCAGTTTCTCACCATGTTAGTTCTATTGATTTTGCTTATGTTACTTATGGTTCATCACTTGTGATCCTTATTCATCATGTCCATGGCTTATTCATCATTATTCATATTTTTGTGTTATCAATCTTTCTTCATTCATCCTGTGTCATCATACACATCATGTGTCATGGTTGTTGCGTTAACGTTCGCAACTTTCCTCATGTTTCATATTGCTTCAGCATGTTCTTCAGTATTAATCCATGCTCACGATTTGCCATGGTGTTCATCAGTTTCATGAGTTTCCATATTTGTTTGATATATGTTGATGCTGAGCTGCATTTCAAACACGTCTGGGACCATGTGAGGTTTTGACGAGGATGGAATTTGCTTGTCACTTTTTTGCATTTAGCAGTCGGCATAACACTCGTGGACAGAACTTTCAGAGCTGGGCATGTGCAGATGCACAGTTTCCACGCGTACTGCATGGTACGTGTGGCAGGCGGAAGAACTACGTAGCATCACAGCTGCACAGAGTCGAGATGTCGAGATGAGTCGAGGGAATTTGTAGTTCCATGGTCCCGAGCTCACGTAAAGCTGGATCATAGACCGTGCCTGAAAGAGTGGTAGTCATAAGGTTTTTACCTATTCTATTTCAAACCTTCAATTGGCTGCAGTTCTCCATCCACTCAAATGTGGCTGAATCTCATCACGATCTAAGAAGTCAGGAGATGGTCCAGGCTGTCCTCCAGCAGCTGCGTATGGGCACCGTAGCCTTGGATCTGATGGGTGAAGCCGATGTCCCTCGTTGAGACCATGCAAGAGAAGGCAGGTGAAGGTCGAGCGAACTTTGAGGCCTCGATGTTGACGCCAGCTTTTGTGAGCATTTGAGTCCAGCCCAGGAACCGAAGCTCCGGAAGTCTTTGCAATTCTTTTACGGAGCCTTGAACAAACTATGTTCGCGCATGTCTCCATCAGCTCTTGCCACCACATGAACCTTGAAACCTCGCTGCCGCTGCTCACTCATCTGAATCGCCAAGAAGCCACGAAATCTTTCTGACATGGCGGCACTATCGGCTCAAGTTATTGTTAGATTTGAGGTAGACGGGGCGCGTCCAAACTTTTTGCTCCTCGGGAACTTCATCCGGGCTGGTCTTCTAATGGGTCACCCCTCCTTGCCTCTGCCGCGGCGACAAGTAAACGTTGCCGTTGCAGACGCCTCCCAGAAAGCAGAGATCATGAGAGCAACTCGATTCAAAGCTTTCCTTGAAAAGTGTCTCGCTTGTCAGAAGGGCGGTCTCTGCCTCTGCTGCAAAGCTGGGGACATTCTGAGGCGATGGGGACTCCCGCAAGCCAGGACCAGACGACACGCTCACCGTCCTGCCAATCCTACATTTCAGGAGATGCAGATTGAAACTGTACAAGCCTCGCAGCATGCAAATGCAATCAAGCATAGATGGTGCTACTTGTAGCGCTTTTGGGAGCTCTGTAACTGTTCTGTAGCAACCCAATCTGAACCACTTTGCTGCTGGCTAAGCGGGAGAAGCAGCACCATGCGGCCAGGAGACGCGTTCGAGGACATCCGAATCCACAAAGGAGGATGTTGGCCATCGACGCCAACGCCGCATGCAATGTACTTGGGTCATTTGTTAAATGCCGAAGCCCAGTAAAGGACATGTGATTTTTGGAAGTTTGACATCTTATGCCGTTCCACCTGTGCTCCAGGTACAAGGGCTGCAGCTTCGGCATGCCATCCGTGACGTCCGCGCAAGTACAGCAACTGCCGAAGCCGCGCCTGAACGCGAATGCCCAAGAGTTTGTTCCGATTGCGAGCGGACAGGTTTTGCCTCAAAGTCATGCTCCTCGAGCACCCCATAACAAATCCAAAGCTCCAGTTTGGGACTACGTTGCGCCAGAGCCCGACAAGCCGCAGTGCAGAGCTCCTCAATCTCGCTCGCTGAATAAGGCTGGCCCCATCGTTTCAGAGACACAAGCTCCCGCTCCTTCCTCCCTGCCACTTTCAATGTGGGAAGAAAGCGTGCAGCCAACACGTGAGCAGCATCTTCCTGACCCAGCTCAGCAACTGCAAGGCCTGCGAACCGATGTGCCTTCACAGGGTTCCGCTCTTCACTCTACAGGGCAATGCAAGCCCTGTGCATGGTTCTGGAAATCAAGAGGCTGCTCGAATGCTGTCTTTTGTGATTACTGCCACTTGTGCCCTCCCGGCGCACTCAAAGAACGAAAGAAGGCAAAGATTGCAGCCATCCGAGCAGGCATCATCGAGCCTCGATCCACGCAGAAGGCCGTCGTCGCGCTTTCGCTGTAGTCCTGTAGATTCCTGTAGATTTTGTGCATGGCTGCAATGCAGCGAAGCCTGCAGTAATTATGAAAGACAAAGTGCCAGAAATAAAGGCTGATCAGGGAACTTTTGTCTTGTGCACGCAATCCTGCGGAAAGAAGAGCGGGTGTCCAGGCATCCGATCTTTGAATGCAGGGCACAAATTTTAACAAAACTCTTTGGAAGAACCCTGCAAGCGTTTCAAGTGTCAGGACCAGTGCTGCCCACTGTACTGCACGAGCTAGTGGGTTCTGATGCTGGTGCACCTGCACACAGCTTGATCAAGGCAACTGCTGAAGTAGACTGGCTACGAAGTGGATGTTGCAGTCATTTGGTGATCACCAGGCAGTTTTTAGCCATATAAGCAGTACTTGCACACACGCGTTGCCTTCAAGCACCATTACAGAGGTCTTCGCAAAAAGCTGCAAATCATTCGAACCCAGTGCATTACTGCCCGATGGGTTGGCCAGAGACGTGTTTGACAGTGGCTCGGGAGTAGCATGGACGAAGTATCTTTGCTGGCGCTTCCACCTAGGAGTGGCAAAGCAAAGAAAAGACCGAGAGCTGCAAGAGGCCAGGCAGCGTTTGACACAATGCGCACATGAATAGGATGATTAAGATTGTTAAGCTGAGATGTTCTGACTCAACTGGGAGAAGGATGGCTTTCACATGTTGGTAACTTTTTTGCATTTGATCAGAGAATATCACAGAGCTATCAAGCAAGGATGTGGACAGGAAATCAAAGTATGCACAGTATACAAAGTCTCCGTTGTTGCAAGCTTATATGATATGTGCTGAAGGACAGTGACAGAATTCAAAGGCAGGCTTCAAATCAAGCGGGGTTAACAACAGGTCAGAAACCTTGACGGATGCAAGACAGCAGGACCCTCATTCAGCCCCAGACTCTTTGTGTGGAAGCGTTTCTTGCACGCAGGCCTGTGAAGAAGCTTTGCTGCTCATGGGCAACAAGGGATTTTATTGTGGATCTTGCTCGCTCTGCAGCCTGCAGTGAGTCTGGCTTGGCAGTTTGACGGGCATGTGCTTTGAAGTTATTAGTCAGCTTTGTCACGTCGGCCGAATGGCCTTCATGTGGCTCAGTAGTAGGAACTTTGCAAAAGCAGCTCAGTCGTCGCGGCCAATGGGTGGCACGGCGCAGCTGATTTTCCCTGCATATTGCAGTAGAATGCTGCCTCCGAAACCGGAGGTCAGGAAGCAGCTCAACATGCATGTTTACAAACAGGAGGGCGTCAGCAACTAGCACTCAGCCGGGGTTTTTGTATCATTAAGTTGCACGAACTGGGCTTTTCTTTTAAAAAAAAGGTGCGCATCAGCATGAGCACGAGTTTCTACCCGCAGCCTGAGGGCTTCACGAAGGAGATATAGCAGAATGGCACTATGAAGTGACCAGAAAACGAGTAGCCAGGGAAAGGCCTGGAGGCGACATGACGCAGCTCGCTGATGCTGATGACATCAGCACCTTGGGGGAAAACGATGAGGAGCAGACCAACACACAGCTTCGCTTGGCAATTCCAGAAGCTGATGATCCGGGAGTTGCACGACCCGCTCGGAATGCTCGGGTTGAGGGCAGTATTGTGCTTCACGACCTCCCTGATGATCTTGGAGCTGCACGATCCGCTCGGCCCGCTCGAGTTGAGGGCACTATCATCATTCAAGAGGAGCAGCCAAGAAAGCTGTCCAGGACTGGATGTGGTGCAGATGGGTAGATCACGTTTGATTCAGACATTGATGGCCAGTACAGCGGCTTTTGTCAGATGTGTCAGGCTCGCACGGTGCGGCAACGCACTTGAACGCTGGCTGGAAGCTTGACGGCAAGCCGTTTCCAATGTCATGCACCGGGCAGTTTGATTTGAGGGAGGCCGCAACCAGGAAGGACATGTTTTTGCCATGGTCTTTGAGCTTTGCTTTTGCTTTCCAAGACAGGTTGAGGAAGGTAGCCATTCTGCATAAACAGACTTTGAAATGCTCATGTCTTGTGAATAGAATTTGAGCCAGTCTTTGTACGTGTGACTTGCTGAAAAATTCAGAGAGCTTTCAGTTGTCAGAACATGCCGAAATTTAGACTGAGGACAAGATACCCTTTCCTCAGATCCGCCCTGTAAGGTGCGTGGCCCTTAGATTCTGTGACATGATTGCGCAAGATTCTGTATATGATTCGAACTGAAACTCACAGGCAGTTGTAAGGAAGGGATGCTTGAGCCAGTTTGCACTGCTTGGCGCGTTGGGCGTGACAAGCCAACTTTTTAGGGGTCGTAATGCCATCCAGCCTGACAGTTCAAGGCGACGGGTAGCGGAGCAGCAAGCTGACCCTTCGCAATCAGAAGGTTCAGTCTGAGAACACAGAGCATCAATTCAGGTTTGAAACGTGAAGGGTGCGCCTTCAGATGGTTCGAAGCCAACAGGTGCAGTGCCCAGAGTTCCAAGTCTTCGTCAGGGATTCACCATGTAGTAGATGGTGCGATCGCAACAGGTGCTGCTTCTTCTTTGGCCGAAAAGGCTTCAGAGTCTTTGGAAATTTGCGAAAGCTGGCGATGTTCCTGTGCAGCAAACGGTTTTAGGCAAGGAATCCGATCCGCCATCCGTGAACGATCCCGCGTTTTCACCAGCCAAGGTTTATATCACTTTGCCTGACATGTGTCAGTATGCTTCTTCGAGCGACTCGTACATCATCCCGTCAGTTCCCATCCATCAATGAATCTGCCAATATCACCAGTCCCAAGTGCCTCCAAGGCGATGCCAGCTGCTGCCCTTTCGTCAAATCAGGGGAATTTGAACGATTTTCCCTGGGCAGCTTGGAGGTCTTACAAGATTTACAAGGCTTCCCAGTGCTCACCGATTTCGTCTGCAATTTTGACCACGCAAGGCATCCGGAGATTACAACTGCATCAAGCCGCCTGTTCAGAAAGAGTTGTTGTGTACGGCGCACCAGCCAGTCACAGTGGCACACCATTGTCGCACCATACCTAGTGCTTCAAGAAGCTGATTGCTCAATTGCTCAATCGGGCAGCACGGCATAGAGTGTAACAGCTGAAAAGGTCAATAGACCACCAGAATCCAAGGAATGAGAGATGCGGAGGTCTAGAGGCGAAGGTCTCTATTGGACTGGAAGCACTTCTGGTCGACAGCAAGAACTTCAACATGTATAAGGTGGCTGGCCATTCAAGTTTCCACAAGCCTGATGCCTGTAACGAAGTAACTGCTCAGGTAATCCAGTGGAGTGCCAATAACTGCGTGGAGCAGCTTGGTGAACACCATACATGCGTAGCTTTTTCTCAAGCATGAGGTGAGCTGTTGAATTCATGTGCTACTTACATGCACCTCAGCTGCTGCGCTGTGGCGTCGCTGCTTCAGAGCAACATCTGCAAACCACATACTTGCTGCCAAGTCTTCAAGCCGAGGAACTTGAGTTCGCTGGGTGCTGGGTCCTACTGCCGCATCTGTGACCGAGCCTCCAGAGGTTGTGCTGCCATGTCCTTCCTCTCCATTGCTACAGGAGCTGTCCGCGGAAATGCATTAAGCACGCGTGGGGCTTTCTGCAATGAAAGTGACAGAACTATCTGAACGTACTAAGCAGGACTGGTCAATGCATGGACTGACATTCAGCGCATGCGTCGACAGAATGACCACAATTGCATCAAAGGTGGGGAGCCTGAAAGGTTTCATGCCAGTGTAGTTCTGGCATGACTTACACGCATGCTTGGCTCGGATTGTTTGAAGTCATCTGAGTTGTGGCCCTCGTTACAAACTGTCTCGGGGCATTCGCTCTTATGCTGGCCTGGTCCTCAGACACAACTTTCCTAGTAAGTTAGTAAGGAAGTTGTCGCTGAACGATAGCCCTGAGGCCGTCAGCATTTTTCATGGGCTTTGCGTCTCCGAGTTTCCGTTGGAAGACGCAGACAAAACATTCAAGACACTAGGCATCACCCAGCCGCATCTTCGGATCTGAACCCTGTAGAGCTGAGCTTGCGCGAATCCACACGCATTCAGCACAAAGACCTTACAGAAGAACATACCTCAGGATCAATTTATCTCTTGGGACTGGCGGAGCTCTTGTAGCCAGTGCGAGCACCATCAATGCGTTGAATGTTGCAGCTTGGCTTGCGTGCACAGTACGCATGCGTTGTTTCATAGTTCTATGATTTTCCATGTAGAGGGAGCGATGCATCGTCTGTAGCATCTGGAGGGTATCCTTTTTGGGTCTGATCCACCTGAGATTCACCCTGTGTTATGGGATCTGTCACAGCCATTATTGATCACCAGCGTTTACTGACAATGCAGGCCCTCACCCTGCTTCCGCTATGCTGCAGCAAGACAGAAGCAAGCGCGTGTGATAAGGTGATCCACTGGCTGGCTGCTGGGCATTCATTCATTTGCCATTTGCATGGCCATTGAAGTGTCCCAGACCAACACCATGTTGGCAAATCGGGTGTGGCAGGGACCTTCAGGAAAGCCCTGTACATCCAGACAAGAAAACTCTGGGTGGAGTGCTTGATACTTACCAGCCTGCTCCACAGGTTCCCGTCCCGGAAGCACGCTGGAAGACGACGGGCCATGGGGCTAAGCATGTTACAGTCTCTTACTATGCTCAGCCACGGCTAGGCTTCCTTGTTTCTCCTGAGAATCATGTAGGAATATCAACCCTGTGCATGAGGGCCTGTGGAAGAAGATCCTGCGCCTGGCGAATGGCCGTCTGTTGCTTGACTGCAGTCAGAGCGTGGAAGTCAAGCTTCTGCACAAGGAAGCCCGATAACAGCATTGAGCCCGAATTCAGGAGTTACTAGTCGTGGCCCGAGAGGCCAAACACTTGATAGATTGCTTCAAGCTGCCCTGAGATACGCGGCGTGAGCAGTGCGGTGGTGCCCTTCGCTGCTAGCTCAGTGCTGCCACTCGCTCCGATTCTACACATCATGAAGACTGTGCAAGGACGGAACCCTTCCGGGCGGCAAAGCTCTTGCAGGACACCTGCTTGTTATCCCATGTTCTGCGCCTGCTTCCCCTACCAGATCGGATAAAGCAAAGGAGTTCCGAGACAATCTGTGGCCGCTCAGCCTCTTGGCCTAAACTCTCTTGGCCAGTACAGCTTGGCCAAATTCAGCTCAATCTGTTTCATGCGTTGTGGTGCAATTTAATCTAGGTGTAGCACACATCTATGCTTTCAGCTCCTTGCAGTTGTAGAGAGATGGGACCACCTCGGGCATGGCATCTGCAAGCCGGCAGAAGCTGAAACGTGAGTCATACAGGCAATGCTACTCTCGGCCGCCTCAGCATGCCGGGACGGGCATCAACAAGCGTGGCACAGCTAATTGGCGCTTTGACTGCTCCCGGATGGGCATGTAAAGAGATACGCGCGGCCGAAATGTTTACTGGCGAAAGCCGACAACACAGCGCAGCATACTACAAAGCAGTAGTTCTCAACTCTTGGTAGCTTAGTGTTACCCGACAGGTGGACAAACTGATTCTCACCACAGGGTGTGTGTTGCCTATGTGGTAAGCACAGCCAGCAAAGCAAATCTGGTAGATGTTTCGTGAGTGAGTGAGTGAGGAACGACCTGGGGTGCACTCCGGCCTACGGAAACGTTCCCTCCCGACCTTCTCTTCCCCCCTCCGCGTACGCCATTGGGGAGATCCAGCGAGAGTTCCAC